TATTATTTGCTTCGAGCCCTGTGTACAGGAGCTGCATGCTAAAAGATCTTTTGTTAAAAGGGTTGGCGTAATAAGCAAATGCTTCAGCCAATACCTTTTGATTAGCCTTGTCTCATGCTTTCTTGCTTTGTGGTAAATCTTTGTTCTGTCTTCACTGAGATATTTGAATGCTAATCAATCAATAAACAATAAACATATCAATATCAAGATGTGAAGTGCAGCTTCTTGAATGCGAACATTGACATTTTGAATTTGGGAATACTTTTTTCTTGCCATCATTCTGGTAGAGGTTGATCTTGGTTTCATCTGTCCAAAGAATGTTTGTCCAGAACTGGAATGTCTGGACCAGCACAGTTAGTCCAATCTAACCTTTCTATTCTTGAGGCTTATGAGTGGCTTGCACCTTGCAGTGATCCTTCTGTACTTACTTTAATGTGATCTTCTCTTTATAGTAGGCGGAAATGTGACCAGCCCATCAGTCTTTTGCTTGAAATTTTTAAGCAGTTGACCCAAGCTGTAGAAGAGCGGGGCATGGAAAGAACAAAATGGGAGTTACTTTCCAAGAGTCTGGAGGTGTGTACATAGACACCATCTGTGTTCCACGAGGAGTGCCTGATGAGATTAAAGCTAGAAATAAAATACCTGAGGGGTTCTAAGTCATTCTTTTTCTGGTGGGTGACAATTAAAAAATAAAACTCATCCCTTAGCCTTCTGAATCTAAAGAGTGAGTGCATTTAAAGACCATGAGTCATAAGAGGACATAAAGTACAGAGTATAACAAGGTTCTAACAGTGGGTAGGTGTGGAAGGCTTAAGTACAGAAATCCAGCCACTCCCAAAGTTGATGAAAAGAACAGCAGAAAGCATTTCAGAGAAACCATGTGATACTGTTTTGACTGACAGTTATGTGTTAATCTGAGAGAGCCTCTAAATACGGAGGACCAGAATAGTCACGCGCATTGAAATAAAGAATTCTATGCTTAGATAATTAATGCAATAAAATATCCATCCATCCATATGGAGAGGTATAGAGGTGCCGCCCCTGATCTTCACACAACATTGTATAGGTGTGTCAACAAAAACAGCCCTAAAACATCCAGAGCCTTAAGGAACCCAGGGCTAACCTTGTCCACCCCAGGGGTCCTGCCACTAGGGCTGTACGATTTTGCATAAAATGAGAATCACGATTTCTTTGCTTAGAAATGAGATCACGATTCTCTCACGATTTTCTTTTCCAATATAAATATTTATTTATTGTACATCAACTTCGTAACAGTAACAGTTGAGACTGGACATAAAAACAATAAATGTCTCACTTGTCTACTCTGACATGACGTGACGAAGGTGGTTAATAACCACCTTAAATATTTATATTGGAAAAGAAAATTGTGAGAGAATCGTGATCTCATTTCTAAGCAAAAAAATCGTGATTCTCATTTTATGCAAAATCGTGCAGCCCTAGTGGTTATACAAATTCGTAGTGTTAGCTTGCGGTGCTGCTACTATGGCAAAACACAGCTTGCAAATGATATCTTTTTGACTCTCATCGTCTTCTTTGAAACCAAAAATTTTCCACATGGAGGAATGAGACCCTTTTCTTGGAATTAATGTTACAGTGGGGTTGTCATTCTCAACGCCATCAGCGTGCTTTTCCTCTGCACTGATTGTGTTTTCTCACTTCAGGCAGTTTCTCTCACTTGCTCTCTGTTGTTTTTTCCCTGCCGGCTGGCTTCTGTATAAGGCTCCGCCCTTGTCATTTGTTGAGCTGGAAGAGTGAGGGCTTGTTTTCATGCAGATTATGTCCCGGATCAAAATGCGGTACAATTGTCATCTTTTTTTCTTTTTCTTTTTCTTTTTTTTTTTTTAAATCATTGTCATTTGGAAATGAGATCGCACATAAGTATGAATTGAGATCGCGTTTTTCTTCAGATCTCACTGTAATTGCAAACATGATTGTTGAAGTCTCCCAGTAGGACGACAGAGTCCCCAAGTGGAGCATCCTCAAACACCCTGCCCAGGCACTCCAAGAAGGCGGGGTACTCTGAACTGTCCGCAAAGGCCGTGTCCTCGGGAGGATGCAGCACATGAATTTGGACACGACTCAGTTATACTTTCCCTTTTTCTTTTGACATCACTGGCTTGAAACTCACGGAACTAATCAAAGCTTCTTTTGCCTCTCACCAAAGCAGATATGTTTATTAGGAACTGACTTAGCATAAATTTTCTCTATGTAAAAACTTTTAGGGTTCATAAAAAGGAAGCTGCGTTGACAAAAACCAGATCGAAAAAAAAAGCAAAGGTGAGTTGATTTTTAACTTGTAATATTTTTGTAGTGTGTATGTGTGCTGCAGCGATCATTAGTTTTGCTTATAAAGATTACTAACGAAAAAATGTTCTGGTAATATATAGCACGATACGAAGGAGTATGAGGGCCACATTAAGAAAAAATATTGTTGATCATTTTGAGAATACAGTCGAAATTTTGAGATTAAAGTAAAAATTATATCTTAAGAAAAAGTCAACTTGTGGAGATTACAATTGTTGTTGTTAGAGAAACAAATTGATCAGCCGTTTTATCGTGTCTTGTGAAACAACATGTCCGAGGGTGTAACCACTGATATCTTTACATCTATCCACTGATAGCATTTTCATTTTGTGCAAATATGGCTAATTCTTTCAAGTTAATTTTGTTGTACCTTCTGACCATCTTTTTAGCATCATTATAAGTATCACCTCACTGTGTTTATGTGCTAACAGAGAAATAATTTTCGATGATTTAACTTACTCATCTACGCAGGGCATTTTGGAGACAGGCATTTTGTCTTGAAACAACAATTGTTATCTCTACATTTTGACTTTTTTCGCAAAATAATATTTAAATTTTGTGGGGGGGTTGACGAACCTGAGCGGCATCCGCAATTAGCAAGTTCGGCCGAATGGCTCCCCGGCCTCGGTTCGGGACCGCGGTCAGTCGGGCGATGGGGGTATGTGGCGGGGCGTTGTCTGCGGTGCTGCTACAAGGAAGGCGGACGCACTTGAGTGGCATCCGCAATCACGCCTCGCCGGCTTAAAGTCTGTGCTCTGACTGTTGTGGTTGTTGTTGTTGGAGTAAAACATAAACATAAAACTGTTGGACACACACACACACATAGGCGGTCCTAGCCTGTTTGGTGCACCGGGCGAACACTCCCTCTGCCCCCCCCACCACACACACACACACACACATTATACATTAACATAAAACTGTTGTCAAACCATACTGAATTTCACCAGAGACACACACACACATATGAAGAGAGAGAGAGAGTATGCATAGTATGCAAAGTATGCTACCAAACAGCCATCATAATTCGTCCAATGAGAACAGAACAAATCAACAATTGACAATGACTAATTAATATTAAAATCTGTAACATAATGTATTGTTTGGAGTTTAGTCTGTTACTGTGGCTATTTTTACCATTTCTTTTTGGAGCAACTGTAACTAACATAATTTCCTCAGGGATTAATAAAGTATTCGGATTCTGATTGTTTCAGCATGACCTGCCATTATCCAATGACACATCTGGTTACCTGTATCTTTTGCTCGTTTCTCCTCCTCTTCTTTTCTCTTTTTCTAAACTGAGCACCTGATGGCTTTGAACTTTTCTTGTCCATCTTCCATTGGTTTTAATTTTGCACTCCAGTATGAACACCCATCCCTCAACCCGAGGATCACCACAACATAACCTAACAGACCTACACCTTAGTTCACAGATTCACTTTGTCTAGGGTGCATTTCTGAGATTTCACACAACAGGATTCAAATCATGAATACATAATGGACTTGGATTTGCAACATTATAAATGAAATGTGCTCTATTTGGAAGCAGCCGGCCCCCTCCCCTTTCGACAGGTTGTGTGTGAGACTTTAAATCATCAAACT